AAACCCATTTCTTCTTCGAGTCAGAGGCGAATCAAATTACAGAGAAAGTTTGGTTTTCCAAGTACTGAGTTTCGCTTTGATTTCAAACGGAGTTTCTGCTCTTCTCGTCGGGGAAATTGGAGATGGGTTCAACTCCGTTTTGCTATTCAATCAATCCTTCACCATCAAAGCTCGATTTCACGAAGACCCATGTGTTTAGTCCCGTTGCTAAACAGTTCTATCTAGATTTATCATCGTTTGCCGGAAAATCGGGAGGAGGAGGATTATCTGGGTTTAGGAACCGTCGCGGAGTGGTCGGGGTAAAGGCGACGGAAACGGCGTTGGTGGAGGAGGAGAAGAGGGAGGCAGTGACGACGGAGAAGAAGAAATCGAGGGTTTTGGTAGCCGGAGGTGGAATCGGAGGTTTAGTGTTTGCTCTTGCGGCGAAGAAGAAAGGGTTTGATGTTTTGGTGTTTGAGAAGGATTTGAGTGCTATAAGAGGAGAAGGACAATACAGAGGTCCGATTCAAATACAGAGCAACGCTTTGGCTGCTTTGGAAGCCATTGATATTGCTGTTGCAGAAGAAGTTATGGAAGCTGGTTGTATCACCGGTGATCGGATTAACGGTCTAGTCGACGGTGTCTCTGGTACTTGGTGAGTTTATCTTCAGAGGAAACCAATCCAAAGAAATTTTCATAGTTATTAGATCAGTGAACCACTCTGCTTGGATTCAGTAGTTTGATGTTTTTTGCTGCTTGAAGAGTTGAGAAGTTGTTATCTTGTGTTTAATTGCTTAGGAATCGTGAAGTAACCCTTTGATTTCATTGTGAGGTACATACAGATTGAGAAATTTGTAGTCTATAGATTGGTGAGGAAACTTCTTGTGAATTTGTTTTGTAAATGAATCAGGTATGTCAAGTTTGATACTTTCACTCCTGCGGCGTCACGGGGACTTCCCGTGACTCGAGTAATTAGCAGAATGACTCTGCAGCAGATCTTAGCACGCGCGGTTGGAGAAGAAGTGATTAGAAACGAGAGTAATGTTGTTGATTTTGAAGACTCTGGAGATAAGGTGATGATTGATATTTACTTAAAAGACTGTTGATTTTCCATTCAAGGACAAGTTTCCAATGGAATTGTATGGGGTTTGCTCGTTTAGGTCACTGTGGTGCTCGAGAATGGTCAACGCTATGAAGGTGATCTACTTGTTGGTGCAGATGGCATATGGTCTAAAGTACGTTTAAGTGAGTTTAAACAAATGGCTATTGTTGCTGAGGATAAAACTTAAAGGTTATGGCTTTTGTTTTTGTTAATAGGTGAGAAATAATTTGTTCGGACGAAGTGAAGCTACTTATTCAGGCTACACTTGTTACACCGGCATTGCGGATTTTGTACCAGCTGATATCGAATCTGTTGGGTAAATCTCAGACTGTCTTATGCATCTTCTCTATTTGCCTAGATTGTGTTATGAAAAATTTCTTATATTTGGAAAAATTTCTACCTTGAAGCTACCGGGTTTTCTTGGGACACAAACAGTACTTTGTTTCTTCCGATGTTGGTGGTGGAAAAATGCAATGGTATGCATTTCATGAGGAACCAGCTGGTGGGGTCGATGCTCCAAATGGTAAATTATCTGGATTGTTTGATTTGTGTCTGTGGTTTGTATTTGGTATCAAATCACATAAGCTTCTTTTCTTTTGATTTTTTAGGTATGAAGAAGAGATTGTTTGATATATTTGAAGGTTGGTGCGACAATGTACTCGACTTATTGGATGCGACAGAGGAGGATGCGATCCTGAGAAGAGATATCTATGACAGAAGTCCTAGTTTTACTTGGGGTAAAGGGCGTGTTACGCTGCTCGGGGATTCTATTCATGCGATGCAGCCAAATATGGGTCAAGGTGGATGCATGGCCATTGAGGTATCCATCTATCGATATGAATCAATTTAACAATTGACTTGATTTAAAAAGTGACTTTTTGAGCGGGCTGTTTATTATTTTTGCAGGATAGTTTTCAACTAGCATTGGAGCTTGAAGAAGCATGGAAACGGAGTGTTGAAACTAATACACCTGTTGATGTTGTTTCCTCTTTGAAGAGGTAAAACTAAAACACCAATTTGCTTAGTTTGGATACCTGATAAACACTAAACATGCTCTTGAATTGGTTTAGATACGAAGAATCTAGAAGACTAAGAGTCGCTATTATTCATGGAATGGCGAGAATGGCTGCAATTATGGCTTCCACTTACAAAGCATACTTAGGTGTTGGGCTTGGTCCTCTCTCTGTGAGTATTCTTTTAGTTTTCAATGATAGATATGCAAAAAGCATCATTTTGTTGTTCGCATGACGTCAAAAGCCAATTCTCATATCTTTCTTTTGCAGTTCTTGACCAAGTTTAGAGTACCGCATCCCGGAAGAGTTGGTGGGAGATTCTTCATTGACATTGCTATGCCTTTGATGCTTAACTGGGTCCTTGGAGGTAACAGGTTAGATCTTTCTCTGTATTCATCTAAAGAGACCTTAAAATGTTTAGATCTCAATAACAGTCCATAAAGCCGACTTATATACATGCTTTTGCAGTGAAAAACTCGAAGGAAGGTCACCTAGTTGCAGACTTACTGACAAAGTATGTTTCTTTCTTTTCTCCAGTTCACTAAAAATAATAATTTAATAGTAATGTGAAAGTGTAAATCTTTGTTTGAAGGCCGATGACCGGCTTCGTGAGTGGTTTGAAGACAACGAAGCTCTTGAACGCACTATAAATGGAGAGTATGTACCACAAAATCCCAAAACTCGACAATAACTTCCATTATATCTATCTCTTCACCTACCCGCTTAAATTGCTTTGATCTGAGTCTTAATTTCTTTGCAGATGGTCTCTGATCCCACAAGGCAACGATTGTTGCGTTTCGGAAACATTATGTCTAACCAAAGACGAGGATCAACCTTGCATTATCGGGTACGGAAAAAAAGTCACCCATCAATGTCTTTTAGCTTGATATCGTAATTCCCGAACCGTTTATAATCAATGATTGCTGAGGAACTATGTACAATAAGTTTTTAAAATTTGAAACGTTGAAAGCTCTATGTATTTGATTGCAGAAGTGAACCTGATAAAGATTTTCCTGGAATGCACATTGTGATCCCTTCGTCTCAGG